TGACATGGCAGTGAGTGAAACAAATTCTGGCCTTTAGGAAACTTTCATTGTCTCAAAAAAAAAAAAAAAGGTGAAATAAATCACAAATTAGATGGTGCACCTCATTGCCTTCAAATCTTTTTTTGGGGGGGGGGGGGGGGTCAAGACAGGGTTTCTCTATTGCTTTGGAGGCTGTCCTGGAACTAGCTCTTATAGATCATGCTGGCCTTGCACTCACAGAGATCCGCCTGCCTCTGCCTCCCAAGTGTTGGGATTAAAGGCGTGTGCCACCAATGCCTGACTGCCTTCACATCTTGCTGATATTTTTTGACTAAAAATTCAGAAGTCTGTCTCCTTGATTTCTGGTTTACTTTGCAGCATTTTTATTTAGTTTTAGTTGTTAATGTTGCAAAATAGCAGCAAGGGTAATACTAATCAAATTCAAATGAACTAGTCCATTTAAATTTTCACTGTGGGCAAAATTAACATTGGGTCTTTAGTATTACTTTATCTTATTAACTTCTATTTTTTTTTCCTAAACAGATTATGAAGCAATTGTAAAGCTTTCAGATGGCTTTAATGGAGCAGACCTGAGAAATGTGTGTACTGAAGCAGGTGAGACTACAAAGCATATTTTTACCACCGATAATATTGTAAATTTATCTAAAAGCAGAGCTGCACCCTGGCAGAATTTCAGTGTTGTGTTGTGTTTTATTTTGATTTCAAGAAGTAAAATGAAATAGCATGAGGAGAAAGTACCACTATAGTAGTCAATTTTGATTTCTTGTAAGGGGTCTTAGGGAAACCCACGAAATTCCTTTGAGAACTGTGGGGCTAAAAGATGGAGCCTAGAACATTTATTTACCAGCATTCCTCTCCCAGTGGACGAAATCTGCTCTTGGGGGTGTTATCTCCTAAGCACTTTCTGATGCCCACAGCATGATGTGGAAAGACTGAATTGCAGGACCAATTCCATGGGTATTTGAAAGATTTACCTTAAAAGTTTGTAGCCCTGCAATTTGTTTAAAATAAAGTTTTTAAATACAATTTTGGATTTTTTTTTTTTCTTTTTTTTGAGACCGGGTTCAGGGTTTCTCTGTGTAACAGTCTTGACTGTCAAGAACTTGCTTTGCAGACCAGGCTAGCCTCAAGCTCACTGAGATCTGCCTGCCTCTGCCTCCCGAGTGCTGGGATTAACAGCGTGTACCACCACCACCGCCCATCCTAATTCTGGATTTTTTGATACTAGTTTTATTTTTGGTGATAAGTGACTTTGAAGCCCTACCCAGGTAGAATCATTTAGTCTTCTCTTTCCATTCAGAATATTCAAACCCAAGACATGTCTGTGTTTGTAGTTTTTGTAGTTACTATTTCAGTGTTAATAAGTCAGCTAAAAATGATTTGAACTATCTAGGATAATTTATCACATTCCAAAATCTGTATCAAACTGCATTATTATTGTTATTATTATTATTATTATTATTATTATTATTATTATTATTATTAAGGATGGCTTTGGTAAAATTGGAGTCAAAAGAAGTACTGTGATTTTTAAAGGCTGATGCTATCAAATTTTGATAAGTGCTTTTTTCTCTTACATTGAAAAATGTTTTTGGTTTTTGATTTTTTTTAACTGATTGATAGAATTTTCACATTAATGGAGTCATATATTTTTATACATTTATATGTTGTATAATACTTAGGTCAGATTAAACTTACCTGTCTCCTCAAACATGTAACTTAATTCATGGTGAAAACACCTAGAATCCGTTCTTCTTCTTTGTTTTTTTGTTTTGTTTTGTTTTGTTTTTTCCCCCAAGACAGGGTTTCTCTGTGTAGCTTTGGAGCCTATCCTGGCACTCGATCTGGAGACCAGGCTGGCCTCGAACTCACAGAGATCCGCCTGTCTCTCCCTCCTGAGTGCTGGGATTAAAGGCATTCACCACCAATGCCCGGCAGTTTTGGGTGTTATTTTATTAAGAATTACTATAGAGGGCTAGAGAGAGGGCTCAGAGGTACACAAAGAAAAGGTTAAGAGTGCTGGCTATTCTTCAGAGGACCCAAGTTCAATTCCCAGCAACCACATGGTGGCTCACAATCATCTGTAATAAGATTTGGTGCCCTCTTCTGGTGTGCAGGCATACATGGAGGCAGAACACTGTATACATAATAAATTTTTTTAAGAAAAAATAAAAAAGAATTACCATTGGACACAAACACTATACAATCCATATTTAAATATTCAGATACTTGTGTTATGTGCTTCATTTAAAATATAATACTTACTCTGCTTACAAAAATATTTGAAAGGAGTGACTTTTAATAATCTAGCACTGTTGGCTCAGAAGCAATAACTATACATTCTCACAGAATTAAGATTAGTTTTCCTTCACCTTTTCTTTTGAGAGCAGGTCTTGACATGTTTGCCCAGGCTGGTTTCAAACTTGCAATCCCCTAAGTGCTGAGATTATTGGCATGTGCCACTGTTCCCAGTCTGGTTTTCCTAATGATCTAGAATTCACACCCGATAAACTGCAATTTTGTTTTGTTTTCCTCAGGTATGTTTGCCATTCGTGCGGATCATGATTTTGTAGTTCAGGAAGACTTCATGAAAGCAGTCAGAAAAGTGGCTGACTCTAAGAAGCTGGAGTCCAAACTGGACTACAAACCTGTGTAATTTACTATCAGGGTTTTGATGGCTGCATGACAGACATTGGATTAATATAAAAATAAAGTTAAGGAGACTAATGTATGTATTGGCAGTGATCTCATTAAAAGTGAATAAACATGTATGAGCAACATAATAGTATGTAATTTAGTAATTCTTTTAAAATTGATACAAAAGAAAGTTGTATGTTAATGTTGAATTTATTGCAGCAATATTTACAAAAGACATATTGAAGCTTTTCATATTTGCTTTGTGAGCATTTTGTACAACATTCAAATGGTTTGAGATAGTACGGGAGAGCATTTACTATGACTTATTTTGTACTTTGTGTTCCTCATCCTGGAAAAATGGAATAAAATGTTTTAGTTGTCCTATATATATTCTTGTATTTTCTAAGAGCACATTTATTCTAGTCTTTCTGGTTCGGTAAGTAAATATTTTGACAGCCTGGATGAAATTGAAAATTAAGATAGGGCTTTGAATTTTATTAAACAGCACTCACAAAGTTCACAAAATTGTCTGCTTGTATACGTCTTAGATGTGCATTTGTATCTTCCAAGAAGTACTTACCCTTCACCTACTACAGTTAGGCTATTTGATGGTTAATTTTAACTTGTTTATGATTAGAAATACTGCTTATAGTTAATTTGCTTTATGTGAAAAAAATAGTTTTCTTTAGAGGCTGTTGTGTTCTGGATCTAGGAATGATCTGTATTACATAGATAGATACGTAATTTTGCATATACATGATTTTCAGACATGTATCATTTTCTAGGCTCACCAATGAAATTTTATAAATGTGTTTACTTTAGGGAATGTTAATGTCAGAAATGTTGAACAGAAATTCTGTAACCCGTAGACAATTATTTTTGATTTCATGTGGCAATCAAAATTATATAGGGAAATCATCATTGCCTAAAGATTGAGATTATTTATAGTTAGAATATTTAAATAAAGGGCATCAAACTTCAGTTTCATAAATACCAAAAAACCAACCATAAGTGACCTGGGTAGCTACCTAATTATTTTTCCCTTTCTTTCACTGTGTGGATTAGACTTTGCCTCAACTCACAATCTCCAGCCTCTGCCTCCTAAGTGCTGACATTAAAGACATTCACCACCATACCTACCATCGGATTACATTTATGAAAAATTTCTAGCAGGGTATTCCATGTGTTTTATAATCTTTTTTTGTTTTTAAAGATTTATTTATTATGTATACAGTGTTCTGCCTGCAGGCCAGAAGAGAGTACCATATCTCATTACAGATGGTTGTGAGCCACCATGTGGTTACTGGGAATTGAACTCAGGACCTCTGGAAGAGCAGTCACTGCTCTTAACAGCTGAGCCATCTCTCCAGCCCCCAGTGTTTTATAATCTTTAAAGCTGAGTATTAGTTTATGTAGTACTAGAGAACAGGGAACACTCAGACTGGCCACCTACTTAATTATTGAACAATTCTACTTCTGTTTGTTGACCATCTATCATACATGAGAAGATGAGAGGAAGTCTAAGTTAAATACCCATATAGGCCTGATACTTTTTTTAAAAGGATGATTTTTAATAATAGTTAAGTCTCAAGGTCTCTAGAAAGTACTCTTAAAAATACAATGAAAAAGCCGGGAGGTGGTGGCTTTAATCCCAGCACTTGGGGGTCAGAGGCAGGCAGAGATCAGCTTGGTCTACAAGAGCTAGTGCCAGGACAGCCTCCAAAGCCGAAAAGAAACCCTGTCTCGGAAAACCAAAAACAATGAAAAAACCCTGTCTGGAAAAAACAAAACTCCAACAGAAGCTCCCATACACATACACTATCATGTTATATATTGAAATCTAACTCAAAGCAAGAAATCTTAGTTAAGCTATCATTTGTGATGACTTTTTCTATTTATCATTTTCTGAGTAAGCGCTCCGGAGTATTCCTAAGAGACCACTTTAAATTGTTTTAAGGAAATGGGTATCTCGTTTTCTGCGCAGTCTAACATGAATTTAAACTGAGCTCTTCCGTTTTGGGTTATAACTTTCCCCACGGATTGGGCAGCGTTCCTGGAGGGCACCGAGAAGGGACTCATCCCC